AATATTGGGGTCCGTGGCGACAGGATGTATGGGTTCACATGATGTGTAGATTCAGTCCAGGGCTAGGGACTGACTTTGGCAAGGATGACCAGATAGGTTTTAATTACCAGACTGGCTCTACAGCTCAGGTACTTATGCTCCTTGCCCGTAGGAAACTGTCCAGCCACACAGAGGCTTCTGCACACCTATCCTCTTACCACTCTGCATGCCCAAACAGCCCAGCCTTCTCTCACTCCAGCCTCTGTGCTCTGGTTCCTTTGGCTGCCATTACACAACACCTTCACTCTTCTCCACCGCTTAGGACTCACCCAGAAGTCCCTCCCATCGGGTTTCCCAGGTTTCCATATGGGGTTGGCGCTCTTCAGCAAATGGTGCCGGCACTTGTTATGAAATGGTTACACTGAACAAATGTATCCCCACCAAAAGCCCCAGTAGGGCGGCGGTCAGGTTAAAGCTGTGTCTGGCTGGCACCCTACCCAAGCAGAATAAACATATGTGTTGACAGCACACCACAGACTTCTGGCGCAGGCTGATAAAGGAGACCCAAGGATCCCTTCGGACCTCAGGCTCTAAGGTTTTCACCTATTCTCAGGGCTCCAGTTTTGTACCGTCCTGAGGGCACCTCCCTCAGTTATCCAAAACAGGTGAGGCTTCGGTCCCCTTCCCGGTTCTTCAGGGAAGAACCAGGCCTTGGCACGCGCACACACGCACACACGCGCGTGGAGAGGGGGGCTGACTGTCTTCCCACTTGGTCCACTGTCAACGAACAACAGAGGAGCAAGGCTTATGGGGAAACTGAAGCCCCTGTGGCTTCAGGTGGCGGCCCAGTCGCAGCTGGGGGCGCGGGAGACCCCCGGCGGGCGAGGCCCGAGTCTGGGCGCACACGTGGCCGGCGCGTCCCGGGGCACGTGCGGGCCTGGACAGTGATCGAGAAGACCGAGCTGGCCGAGGGGCGTCCGGACCCCCGGGTTCTCGGAGACACCGCCGAGGAGCCACGTAGGGTTCTCCCCCCGCCCAGCCCCCACCCCGCGGCTCCAGGCTGGACCCCGCGCCCCCCAACTCACCTCCTCCGCGGCGCCGGCCGCCCTTGCGGGCCGCGTTGCCCTTACGGGCGCGGGGCATGCTGGGAAGCAGGAGTGCGTGTTGTGGCGGGGGTGGGCGCGGGGTCAGGGTCCTGGCGGACAAGGGCTCCAGACCAGCAAGACGCTGGCCAGTGCACCGCACTGAGATTTGGACGGGCGACGGGAGCCACACGACGCGCGCCCCACCATCTTCTCGAGGCGCCCCGCCCTGTCAAACTGGTCTCTGGGAAGGTAAGTTCCCGGACACCCCGCTCTGACCCAAATCCACGCGCCCGGGACTACGATTCCCAGAGGGCTGTGCGCGCAGATGAGGGCCCCCCCCCCCCTCCCCCTGCCGCCGGCTGGGCGCACCGCACCATGGGAATCGCAGTCCCCTCTGGAGCCCCACAAACTGACGCCGCTCCAACTAAACTATGCACCCACAATGCCCTGCGCCCTCCCTCCTCCGACCCTCCCACCCTCCGCCCTTCCCGCCCCGGGCAAGTCTCGCGGCGTGGTTGGCACTTCAGGACCCTTGGAGGAGGGCACTTGCGAGAAGTTGTGAAGTTGCTCGGGTTTGAGGAACGTGAGAGGAGCTCGGGTTTGATGGAATAGGGGAAATAGACAAACCTCAGGTGGTTAGAAAAAAAAAATGTGACTTTTATAATGAAAGCAGAATATAGACAACGGTTTAGCACTTAATAGACGGAACTCAGCTCCGCCTCCAGCCCCACTGCCCCGGGATGGGTTTCCTGTGACTTCTGTGTGGATCCAGTGAAGTGTAGGGCTGCCAACCCTAGTTTGCTGGAACACTGATTCTCTTCGGGCCTGAGAGAGCCCCTGCGTCCCCCCCACCCCCACCCCCCGCTTTCCCACCAGGGATCCCAAGGGCAGTAGGGAGGAAGTGGGTGTTGTAGCGGAACAAAAAGGGGATTTCTCCCAGGGCTGGGAGAGCAACAGCAGAGAAGAGCTGGCCAGGGCAGGAAGGGAGGGGTCCCTGGGCTTTTAGGTAGCTTCTTTCGGTCCAGGCTTAGGTTTCTGGCAAGTAGGTCCCGTCCAGCCCCAGTAACAGCGGCAGCTGAAGGACTCCCAAGTTCCAAGGCTGCCATTTGGCTGCAGGTGCAGAAAGACTTCCCTTTGCCCTGGATCTCGCCGGACACAGCGGCCATGGCCGTGGCACCGCTGGTGACTGCAGGCCATAGCCGCCTTGGTCACACTGGTCACATAGGGGCCTAGGGTGCCCACCAGGTAGTCATGGAGACGCCAACATGCATCCTAGTTTGGAAAAGGGAAGGGTAGGTCAATGCTTATACTCCATAGTCTTGATGTATGTGGCCTCTCCCTCACCCTGGGAACCCCAGCATATGCTATATAAGGTAAGCGGAAGGGGGTAATGATCACCTCAGAGCTGGAGAAACTCAGGTCCCCCCAGAGCACCACGCCGGCTGCCCCTAGTGCTGCACTCACACCAATGGTCTGCACCAGGTCATTCTGGAGATAAAAGAACTGTTAAGTCAGGCTGAACTGTCCCCCTCCCCCCCTGTTTTTTTTTTAACCATAAACTGGTTCAATCTGGGCACCAGTGGCTCACAACTGTCATTCTAGCTACTAATGAGGCTGACATCTGAGGATCATGGTTCAAAGCCAGCCCTGGTAGTAAAGTCTGTGAGACGCTCATGTCTAATTCACCACCAGAAAACCATTAGGGATGCTGTGGCTCAAAGTGGTAGAGCACTAACTAGCCTTGAGCAAAAAGAGCTCAGGGACAGTACCCAGGCCCTGACAAAACAAACTGGTTCCCTGCCATGATCTGGACTTTATCTCTAGATCGTGGGGGCCCCTTTGCAATAGAGCTTCTGAGTGATTTCTCACGGCCTCCACTCAGAGAATAAGTCCTCTTGATTAAGAGCTCCAAAGGCTGGGCTCTATCCATCTCTTGAGCCTTGCCTCATTGGTCAGATGTTTCTAGAATAGGGCCTTTTTCTTGATCAGGACCACTCCCCAAGTCTCCCTGGGCAAAGTCTTCTCGGACCTTTCTAACACAGGACCAGGGCCCTGGACTCAGACTTCCTGGTTTTAGCTTCTACTTACCTGAGACAGGAACCTCCCAGAGTTCTGATACGTGAGGCGGGTATAGGCCAGGACAGGTAGAGGGTGTACGTGCCCAGCCAGGGCTACACGGAAAGCCTCTTCCAAGCGGTATCGGACAAAGGCTTGGTGGTGGGCAGGTGGCAGCCTGGGTGGGAGGTAGATGCTGGGGAAGAGAGCACTGGAGGCGGCCCATAACCAATGCAGTTGGTTGTTTTGGGTCAGAGTAGCTGCACGACAGTGGCCGGTGTAGTTGGAAGCCATATTGTGCCAGCCATTGCCACAGTCTGGGTAGTGATAGAAACCCCAGAGGCCATGGGGCCGCAGTGCCTTGCCCAGCTGGAGGGTATCTTCCATCAGGGCCCGGGCTGCCTGCTCAAAGCCAGCATGAGCTTTGTGGAGCTGTTGCTGAGGGTTGAGATCAGGGAACACCTGCTGTGCCCAAGTCCACGAGGCGGTCTGGTAGGCTCGGCGGTAGTGACCCCAGTTTCCAGTCCACAGTGGATACCACTCCTCCCAGTCCAGCACTGCCAGGCCAGAGAAGTTGAATGCCAGGCTGTGGTTGATCTGGTAGGCAGCTCGTGCCAGGTGGCGGTGTAGGGGCACAGCCTGGGGGATACCCCCATTGTAAGCTATGCCCTTGGGCCCAAGGTAAGGATAGAGGCCAAGCTGGTTTTTGTAGAAGATGGTGATATTCTGGCCATGCAGATGTTGGCCGTGGTTTGCTATGATGTCCAGGGCCTTGAGTGGGAGGCGTACACCAAAGCGGGTCTTACAGCGTACTGAGGGAACATTCCATAGCACAGAGAAAGGGCGCTCAGGAGCCTTCAAGAAGGGCCAGCCATACACCAGGCACAGTGCTACCCCCAGCACTAGGGCTGGGCCTAGCTGCGCGGTCATGCCACAGAGATGGAAACCTGCAGGAGAGACGAGGTGTGAGCAGGGAGAGTCCATGGCCAAGGCCAGGCCTTCCCCACTGCAGGGAAAGCCCAGAAAGCAATCTGCCCAAGAATGAGGGCTGGGGCTAGGAATGTGGCTTAGTGGTAGAGTGTGCTTGCCTGGCATGCATGAAGCCCTGGGTTCAATTCCTCAGTACCACACATCAATAGAAAGAGCCGGAAGTGGTTCTGTGGCTCAAGTGGTTAAGAGTGGTAGCTTTGAGCACAAGTAGCTCAGGGACAGTGCCCAGGCCCTGAATTCAAGTCCCAAGACTGCCAAAAAAGAAAGAAAGAATGAGGGCAGGGCAAGGCATGGCTCTCTAGGGTCCAACTGGTTTCTCAGAACCACCACACCCCAGGCTAGACTGGCAGCTTCCCTCTAGCCTTCTCCCTCTCTGTCAAGGATATCAGCATATCCTCTGAGACCTCTCCCACACAGCAAGTCAGAGTCCTCTTTGTTCTTCTCCCTTCCCCTGAAATATTCCTTGCTGGCCTAACTTCATTCCTATTCAACACTCAGGTCTCTGCTGAACACCATTTCCTTTAGGTTTCTTGGATCAGGAGGGAGTGTCAAGACACTACTGAATTCCCTTGTCCCAGCCGTGGATCTTGCTACAGTCATGCCAGGTCTATTCTCTTAGTGTGTGTGTGGGGTGGGGGGAGGAAGGGAAGCTATCTGTGTAATTGGCTATGTCCATTTCTGGGCCTGGCACATAGTAGGTGCTCAGCGAATAGTAATGAGTGAAAAGGAGAGGGAATAGTCACTGTCTCTTGGGCCTAGCAGGGTGGGAGGGGATAAAGGGGAAGTCATCACCCCACAGTGACTCCAGGGCCAAGTTGGATCTGGGTGTCTTTTGTCAGGATGGAGGACATGAGCAGGGTTAGGATGGTTAACAAATAAAATGGTCGCAGCCACACCCAACGGAAGCCTTTATTCAGCCATACTAACGGCTCTGCGGCAGAGCTACGAAGCCACTTCTGGCCCTGCTGGAACACAGGAAAGATGCCCGGATTAAGGCTACCTCCTCTCCCCCACCAGGGGCTTGAGGCTGAGGTACGGCCGGCCGCCTGGGCAGTCCAGTGACCTGGGGGATAGCCGCCTTCTCCTGGGTAGCCCTCAGATGTCTTTTTCCATCCAGAATATGGGACATCCCTTCAGGTCTTGGTACTGGGTCTGTATCAGGCTGGGTGGAAGGGGCCCCGGCGGAGGTGGGGGTGGAGAGGAGGTGGGCAGGGGCAGGGGCGGAGGTGGTGGTAACGGGGACCCCGTGTGGCCGCGTGGGGCAGGTTTGGCAGTGAGGCTAGGAGTCTTGCAGGGTGTCTGGGGCCAGGGGGTCTGAGGGAAGGCACGAAGCAGGGTACTAGGCAGCCGTCGGCTGGCGAAGACCAAGCCCTGCACAGGTTCACCCAGCTTGTAGCCCAGGTGTGCATAGAAGTGCAGCTGGTCATGAGTGGTGAGGTGCAGCCGTCGGAAGCCTCGGGCACGAGCAAAGGCCTCCAGGCCCTCCATGAGCCGCCGTCCAAAGCCACGGCCCCTCAGGGCCCGGGCTACCACCACCGTCTCCACTAAGAGACTCTGGGGCCGGTCTAGAACTCGTGACAGGCGAGCATGGCCCACCACAGTGGGGGCTGCTTCAGGGGAAGGGTGGGGGCTCAGGAGCATCAAGCAGAGCGGGAAGGCATCTGAGGACTGGCCCAGGGAGTGGAGCCGGGAGGCCCGGCTTCGGGGCCACTGATCATTGATGAGGTCGGCACAAGCATCCAGCAGCTCAGGTCGGCAGTGGGCAGGCTCCAGGGTCAACTCCGCCAGGCTGGGCACTGGGATCTCCTTGGCCTGGGGCGCAGGATCCAGGGTGAGCTCAGGTGGGCTAGGACTGAGGTTCATCTCTCAAGGTAGATGGAAGCCAAAGTCAGTTCAACTAGCTTGCTGGTGCTCGGGGAGGGGCGGCTCTGGCTGGTGGGTGGGATCCAGGGTGGGCTTGTTCAAGCTGAATCTCGGGGTCAGTTTTGGCTGGCATGCAGGAACCAGAGTCAGCTTAGCCGGGCTGGTACTCAGGATCAGCTCCATCCAGTGCTCAGGGTGTCTAGGGTAGGGGACAGCAGCCTGGCTGGGCCAGAGCTCAGGGTCAGCTCTTGCCTACATGTAGGATCCAGGCTCAGGTGAGGCAGGCTGGGAGCCAAGGTCACCTCCTGTTAGGCTGCAGGTGGCTCAGTGCCAGTCCGATAGGGCCATAGTCTCCAAGCAGTGGCATCTCCTCAAACCACAAGGCTCCCCTCCTGGGGAATAACAGCTGGGCTGGGCTGTATCGGGAGGACACAGTTGGGGTAGGGAAGGACTAATGAGTGCAAAGGGAGTTAAGTGTATCCTGAAACTGGGCAGCGATCTTACACTCACCTGATGGTACAGAGGGCCTGGAAGAGACCTGTTTTCTCTACCCTGGGGGAGAGAATTCAGGTGCATGTATCCGAGTATCCTACGACATATTGGAGGAAAGCTGAGAAAGATGGTAAGCTGAAGGCTAGGGCAGAAACCAGGGGTTCTGGCTTCTCTATCTGCCTGGCTATCCATTTCTCCTCCCCAAGATGATCAACCCAGCCTGTTTCCCAGTTCTTTCTCTCTAGCTTTCCACTACTAAGCCTGGCTGGCCTTGGACAGAAAATGCAAACCAGACACCATAGCTACTGCTTCCACCCATCTGAGGTTCTCTTTGGAAGAAACACCACCTCTCCAGGAGCTGCCCTGTTCCTTCCTTTCCCTACCTGGCAGCTCTCCCTCCAGTTGCCAGCCTCTTCAACTTCCTGGACCATGCCCATGTCTCACTGATCCTTGGGCACTCATTCTCGAAGCTTAGCATTTCCCCTCCTTCTTCTGCCTTCCCTGCCCAGTCACAAAACCTCTGGCTCCTTTTCTGATTCTGCCCAGCTCAGGACACTGAATATAGATCCAACTGACTCCACCAGATGGGGTCCCAGCAACACCAGGTGGGGGTGCAGTGTAGGGCCCGCAATTGCACCAGACAGTTACAACTGTGGGCCAGGTTCCCTCTGGGTTTTGTAATCACTCAAGATAAGGACCACAGCTTCCTTATATATCCAGAGGTGGCCAACGGCCTCCAAGTTGGGGGCTCAGAACTCCTGTATGCAAACCCTATTGTTGTCTTTTTTATTTTTTATTTTTTTGCCAGTCCTGGGACTTGAACTCAGAGCCTGGGCACTGTCTCTGGGCTTCTTTTGCTCAAAGTTAGCACTCTACCACTAAGCCAAAGTGCCACTTCCAGCTGTTTGTTTCACTGAGGAATCGAACCCAGGGCTTCATACATGCTGGGCAAGCACTCTACCACTAAGCCACATTCCCAGTCCCCCATCTTTTTTTTTGTTCTTGTTTTGTGGCTTTTTTTTGTGCACTGGTCCTCCTAGGGCTTGAACTTAGGACATGGGTGTTGTCCCTGGACTTTTTTTGTGCATTCAAGACTCGCGCTTTACCACTTGAGCCCCCCAGCTGCACTTCTGACTTTTTAGGTGGTTAACTGGAGATTAGCATCTCAAGGGTGTCCTGTCCCCGCTGGCTTTGAACCACGACCCTCAGATGTCAGCCTCTTGAGTAGCTGGGATTACAGGAGTGAGCGACAAGCTCGGGCTCTGCTCATATTATTTGAGATCTTGCCTAGCTAGGAGAGGATCTGTGCTGGGGGCTCACTCCTTTCCTCCTTATTTTTGTTTTTTTTTTTTTTCTCCCTGTGAACTCCTTTGAACTCACAGCCAGCCGCTCTGGCAGCACATGCTGTGTAATTTCTCACAGTGGTCTCCTCTCCTCTCCACAGAGCTCCTCCTGGTTCTCTTCCCGCCAGCCCTTGGAGCTAGTCCTTAATAATAGTTCCCAATTCTCCTCATGCCACACCCCACCTCCCCTCGGCCCCCTCACCTGTTTCAGCCACCTCTCTACAGAAAGAAGCGGCGCTCCCAAGGCCTGAAGCTCCAAGGTGGGCCCTCAGGTCTCACAACACTCCCCCCCCCCACCCACAAGCTACCCCACAGGCTGAATGAACGCTGCAGCGCAGCCCCGCCCACTGTGGGCGGGGCGAAGCGCGGGAGGGGCGGGGCTGCCCTCTCCAGGGGCCTCGACTCCCCCCCCCACCCCGCCCCTACATGGGTCACAGGTAAGGGGTTCGAAGGATTGACTCCAGGGCTGGGTGTGGCTCGGCCTGCACCCGAAGGGAAGGCCTGGGCACGCGGGGACCTCCAAGGTGGGGGGGGGGCCGAGCGACGCGCAGGGAGGGCGAGGCGGTACTGACATGTTAATAATGCTGGTGCTGGGGTGTTCTGTGTCCGCACGGCTCGGCTTCTCACGGTCTCCGGCTCACACTCCTCGGTCCTCCCGCTCCGGCTGCGTCCCGTCCTCCCCCCCCCCCCCCCCCGCCCCAGCGGTGTGCTGCGGCCGACACGTGCAGGTTTTTAACAGTCGACGGCGTCACTAACTCTCCCCGGAGCTCCTCCACGGCTGCCAGGCCCGGCCCCGGGACGCCGGAGCGTCACCGCCCCGGCCCCGCCCCCTCGTTCTGCGACGTCACAACACCAGGACGAGGGCGCAGGCTCAGTCCCTTCCCCGCCCCTGTGGAGGCGAGGGCGTGGTTTCCAGATGGCCACGCCCCCTCCTCCAGCCCGGTGTCCTTTCAGACTCCGCCTCTAAGGTCCGTGCGTCTCCCAATCAGGTCTGGTTCGGATTCACTTCCGCTTCAGCTCAGCCCTCGCCCCGCCTCCGACGTTAGCTCCGCCCCTGCTTCCCCCGCCCCGCCCCTGCTTCCCCCGCCCCGCCTCAGCTCATCCCAGGCTCTGACCGTAAAGTCCCATTGGCGGGGAGGGGGCGGTTGTGGGGCTTGAACTTAGGCCCGGGGCGCCTTCCCAAAGCTTTTGTGCTTCACTCCACCTTCTGAGCCACTGCCCCAGTCCTAGTTTTCTAGTGGTTACTTGGAGATAAGAGTCTCACAGACCTTCCTGCTCAGGCTGCCTTCGAGCCATGATCTTCAGCCTCCTGAGTAGCTCCTGAGTCAGGCCTGAGCCACTAGAACCTGGAGAGTGAGTCTCTCTCTCTCTCTTTCCCCCTCCCTCCCTCCTTCCCTCTCTCTTTCTCTCTATCTTGGATCCATCACGGGGCTTGAATTCTGGGCCTTTGTCACTGTCCCTGAGCTCTTCAGCTCAAGGCCAGCGCCCTACTACTTGAGCCACAGCACCACTTCCCATGTTCTGGTGGCTCATTGGAGATAAGAGTCTCATGGATTTCCCTGCCCAGGCTGGCTTTGAACTGTGACTCTCAGATCTCAGCCTCCTGAGTCGCTAGGATTACAGGCCGTGAGCTACCAGCACCCAGCAGAGTCCCATTTTATTTGGGTTCCCTGGGGACAGGATCCTGCTCCCTGCCCAACATAGAAACAAGGTTCTGGTTAGTCGCTGCCCCCAGCAGATGTTAGACTTGGACTAAAAAAGAGGAACCTTTACGGTGCATCCTGGATACCAGAGCTGGCCCACTTTCAGCATTCAAATAAACAGATCTCCTAAATAAAATCACATCACGTCTGCTTTATTTGCTGGGTGGGGTGGTGCTAGTGTCTCAGTGAATCAGTAGGTCCTGCAGTGCTGGTTATCAAGTTATTCAAGAGCAGGTGAGCAAGGACCCCATCTCTAGAACCAGACAGCTTAGATCTGAACTTCTGTCGTTTCCTGCTGTGCAACCTCCCTCTCCCTGTGGGTTCCTTGGTTTTCTTTCTCACAGCCTCATTGTGAAAACTAAACAAGTTAGCCAGCTTTAGTACAGAACAGGCCCTTCCTTGGTGGATGGCATCTTTTGTGAATGACCACTGGAAAGGCTGGTTCAGTGTCTCTGGAGGAATTGTCTATGATCCTGAGGAGTAACCTCATAGGACATGGAAAAGGATGATTGATCTCTGCCCCAGGTTCTTTTTTTTTTTTTTGCTGGTCATGGGGCCTGAACTCAGGGCCTGTGCGTTGTCCCTCAGCTCTTCAGCTAAAGGCTAGCACTCTACCACTTGAGCCACAGCGCCACTCCCGGCTTTTTCTGCTTATGTGGTACTGAGGAATTGAACCCAGGGCCTCATGCATGCAAGGCAAGCGCTCTACCACTGAGCCACCTTCCCAGCCCCTCTGCCCCAGGTTCTAACTCCCTCAGCCTGTGTGTGTGTGTGTGTGTGTGTGTGTGTGTGTGTGTGTGCGTGCGTGCAGGACACATGCTCAGGATAGTAACTGAGTATCCTCCTGACTATGACCATGACTTGCTTGTCTGTGCTGTGTCTGAGGAACGCTGTGGTCACCTCAAGACTGCATGAGGTCTACTCAATGTATAGAACCTGCCCATCACCAAATGTCCCTCTGTTCACACGAGGCTCCCCGCCAGCCCTGGTAACAGCGACATTTGAACTTCATAGCCATCTGTGCCCGATCTTCAAGTGAGAGGGTACCCTTCAGGGTCAAGGGTCTGCCACCGTGTGTAAGCTGGATGGAGAAACTTGCAGGGTTAAGGAACAGTTGGGCCTGGGGATGGCTCTGGTGGCGGGCACAGCGCCCATGGCCAGTACATAGGGCTTGACTGCAGAGAAGAGCTCCACTGGTAACGTTCAGGACAAAGGGCCCTAGTGTGGTATCCATATACTCCTTGATGGCTTGGCATGATTCCTGGGTGGGAAGGGGAGTGTTAGAGACACCACAACCATGCATCCACTTACCTAAGGCAGCAGTGGGGAGGAAGGGCGAGACGGGATCTCCTCTCTGCCCCCAGGCCTCAGCTCACCTTGGTCTTTGTGTGTACCCAGCTCATCCAGAGCACGACTCCTGCTGCCCCTTGGGCTGCACTTTCCCCCAAGCTGTGCTCCAACTCTTCCTGTGGAAAAAAAAAAAAAAAAGACAACACAGCTCTGAACCGCTCTTCCTGGCTCCCATGGCAGATTTCTGTGACACTGATGGATGGGCTAAATAAATAATATATAGCTATATATGCCAGGCACTGGTGGCTCACCTTTGTAATCCTAGCTACTCAGGAAGCTGAGATCTGAGGATCGCAGTTCAAAGCTAGCCCAAGCAGGAAAGTCCTGGAGACTCTTATCTCCAATGGACCCCCAGAAAACCAGAAGTGGCGCTGTGGCTCAAGTGGTAAAGCTCTCGCCTTGAGCTGAAAAGCTGAGGGACAGCGACCAGGCCCAGAGTTCAAGCCCCATGAGTGACACACACACACAAAAAAAAAGCACAGGGAAAGCACCCAGGCCCCAAGTTCAAACCCTACAACCCAGGGATGGAGGGGTGGGGTCCCACAAAACTTACCAAGGGCAGAAGTTTTGTCATGTTGTAGAAGATCTGCACATAGGGCAACACAGGCAGGTGAGGGGCCCTGGCAGCTGCAGCCACACGGAATGCCTCTTCCACACGATGCCGCACGAACAGCTGTGCTTTCTCTGTGCCCACCAGCTCTGTGGGCATGTAGATACTAGGGTAGAGGGCACGGCTCTGGTTCCATAGCCATCTTAGCTGGTCGTTTTGGACCCGGATGTAATGTGAGCACTGCCCTGTGTAGTTGGCTCTCCGAAAGTCATAGTTGTAACAATTGGGGAAGCCATAGAAACCCCAGAGGCCACGAGGACGCAGTGTCTCGCCCAGCTGCAGGGTGCCTGCCATCCAGGCCTGCGCAGCTTCCTGGAACTGGTCCTTGGCTGCTTCCTCCACCTGGCTTGCTGGCCAATCAGGGTGCTGTGTCTGTACCAGGGCCCGGGAACGTTGCCGATAAATGTCCTTGGAATCCCAATTGAAGGCCCAGAGCGGGCGCCATGCCTCCCAGTCAATGACTGCCAGTCCGGAGAAAGCAGACACGGGGATGGCGGCTTGGATGTCCCAATATGCGCGGGTCAGGTGGGTATACAGGCTGGCATTCTGGGGCAAGCCACCAAATACTGGCTCCCCAGTAGTTGTATAGTAAGGGTAGGAACCCAGCTGCCAGCTGTAGAATATAGTCATGTTAGGACCGTGGAAGGTCTGCCCTGGGTTGGCGACCACATCGAAGACACTGACATCCACATCCACGCCGTGCCTTTCTAGACATGACTGGGTATCGGCATTCCACACGGTGATGAAGGGCTGGTTGGTTACCACAGGACCCCTGGAGCTTTGAGTCAGGTCCAGCCAGATCAAGAAGAGAGTACAGATGCGAAGCAACTGGGCTGTGGCAGCACAGAGTGGGTCTGCGAACACCTGGCCAGGGGAGGCAAAGCTGAGGAGAGGCCTGGAACTTTCTATCATCTGCTCAGGGCAGGTGGGATGAATCCCTTGCTCACATATCCATCCTTGGCCCTGGTTTTTGTTTTGTTTTGTTTTTGTCAGTCGTGGGGCTTGAACTCTGGGCCTGGGCACTGACCCTGAGCACTTCAGCTCAAGGTGAGCGCTCTACTACTTGCGCCACAGCGCCACTTCCGGTTTTCTGGTGCGTTCATTGGAGATAAGGGTCCCACGGACTTGCCTACCCAGGCTGGCTTTGAACCGTGATCCTCAGATCTCAGCTTCCTGAGTAGCTGGGATTTTAGGCGGGAGCCCCCAGCGCTTGGCTTCTTGGCTCTGATTTGAGTTAAACATTGCCCTACAGTGGCCAGGGAGGTCGATGAAGAGAAGCCCAAAGGGGAACACTGCCATTAGAGGAGATACGCCAATCACTTCTGTGGCCAAGCCTAGGTCATCTGCCTCCCACCAATCTTGCCCTGGCTTAAAGATTGTCTCCCCGTGTTTCCCAAGGACCAGCGAGGCCATGACATCTCCTCTGGAAGAAGGGGCTGAGCTAAACTTGTCACTCCAGACAGCCCTGTTAGATCAGAGGGACACTTCATGATCACTTCCGCTAGAACTCCTAGTAGCCACTAGGAAAAGAGATGCTCAGTGGCTTAGATCAGCCCAGCCCTTCTGGACCCCTCACTGTGCCCCCCCCCCCACCTGCCCAGCTGCCCAATTGTCCCTACTGACCTCAGGGCAGAAGAGCTTCATCTTCCAAACTTGCTGACTCTATACCTCGGCAGGGTTTGGCCAGAGTTTCCGCCTTCACACTCCAAAGCCCCAGCTGCACCAGAATCTCCAAGAGGAAAAAGCTGCTGCTAGAAATTCTGAGCGTTTTGTAGATGGTCACACTACCCAACCCCATCTGGGGGTGGAGCCTTGGTGGGGTAGGGGGTGGGCTAGCAGTGGCCACACCCACTGGCAGGGCTTTGTGGCTGTGCTGTGTAGCTGGAAAGGTAGGGAGGAGGCTCAGGCAGCTGGGAAGAAGCTGCTGTGATCTGGCGTCCGGGTTCCTGAGGATTATAGGCTCAGAGAATACACTTTCTCTAGATCGCTGCCATGATGACATTAGCTGACCATAGACATTCTTGCCTTGGTGGATTCCTTCTTCCTTAAAGCAACAGGGTTGGAGATGGAACCCTAGGATATCAGGCTCGTGGGGCAAACATTCTACCACTGAGCTAGGCTCCTCAACTCTTCAAACAATATATATTATTTCTTTTTGTTTTGATCGGTCGTGGGGCTTGAACAGCTTTGATGCTGTCCCTGCACACTTCAGCTCAAGGTGAGTGCTCTACTGCTTGAGCCACAGTGCTATTCCAGTGTTTTCTGAGTGGTTCATTGGAGAGAAGAGTCTCACAGAGTTGCCTGCCCAGGCTGGCTTTGAACCGCGATCCTCAGATCTCAGCCTCCTGAGTAGCTAAGATTACAGCGTGAGCCACCAGCGTCCAGCTTCAAACAATATTTTAAAATATATTTTACAGGACTAGATGTGGCTCATTGATGGATGAGCTGGCACACATGATGTCCCATACAAAACGAAAACAAAATGTATTTTACAACTGTGTTGATAGCTGAAAACTGATCTAGGGGCGTGGCTCAAGTGGCAAGTGCAAAGTCCTGAGTTCAAACCACAGTACGTCCAAAAAACAAAAAATCAAGACTGGGTATTGGCTATTCATGATCAATATATTTGGTTTTTTTTTTTTCAATTAAAAAATTAAACAGCTGAGTGCTGTTTAAGATACGCAGACCTGAGCATTGAGTTTTGGTATTTACTGGTTGTCCCCCCTCCCCAATTCTGACATCTAACGTTGTCCTTCTATATACTTTTTTTTTTTTTTTGTCGGTCGTGGGGCTGCCACTTCCGGTTTTCTGGTGGTTTATTGGAGATAGGAGTCTCAGAGTCTTTCCTGCCCGGGCTGGCTTTGAACCACAATCCTCAGATCTCAGCCTCCTGAGTAAGCTAGGATTACAGGCGTGACCCACCAGTGCCCGAACTCTTCTATATACTTTTATCCTTTGATCTTGATAATCATTTCTTTTTTTGGGGGGGAGTCCGGTCATGGGGCCTGGGCGCTGTCCCTCAGCTCTTCAGCTCAAGGCTAGCACTCTACCACTTGAGCCACAGGGCCACTTCCAGCTTTTTTCTTTTTGCTTATGTGGTGCTGAAGAATCGAACCCAGGGCCTCAGGCATGCAAGGCAAAGCGCTCTACCACTGAGCCACCTTCCCAGCCCTTGATATTCAGATTTCTAAGGTCTGCTTGTGAACTTCAGCATTTGCTTCCTGAAGGTGGTGCCTTTCTTCTAATTTTTATGAAGCCCTTTGATCTCTTTAAATGCAATTTGTGCTGTGTTAGTGGTTATACTTAGCCCAGACTGTTGTGGCCCAGGCTGTGACTGTGGCTTCGTGGTAGAGTGCTTACCTAGCATGCATGAAGTCCTGGGTTCGATTCCTCAGTACCACAGACACAGAAAAAGCCAGAAGTGGCGCTGTGGCTCAAGTGGTAGAGTGCTAGCCTCAAGCCAAAGAAGCTCAGGGACAGTACTCAGGCCCTGAGTTCAAGCCCTAGGACTGGCAACAACAACAACAAAAAAGCTGGAAGACTGGGCCCTGGGCACATCAGTCAAGACAAGGATCAAGTCATAGAGGACTTGGCTACTGATCCTGCTCATTCAGGAACAAGGAAAAAGGGTGAAGGGTGATGAATGTGTAGCCCAGAGAACCTGGCACAACTTCTCAATGTCTGAGGAGGCAAGAGACCATGAGGGAAGTCTCTGTCCCTCCCTTTGAGGCCCGGTATTGGTGCTTACACTCAGGGCCTGGCTGGTGCTCTCTTTGAGTCTTTTTTGCTCAGGGCTGGCATTCTACCACCTGAGCCATAGCTCTGCTTTTGCCCTTTTGCCGGCTCATTGGAGATAAGTCTCATGGTCTTTTCCTGCCCAGGCTGGCTTTGAACCTCTATGCTCAGATCTCAGCCTTCAGAGTAGCCAGGCACCTGGCTCTCCCCACTACCTCTCAATGCCCCCAGAAATGCTGCAGTTGGCACAGTCCTGGTACTCAGCAGGCCAGTAGTTTGTAAGCCTCAGGCCCAGGTAGAAGGAATGCTGGAACAGTGGGAAAGTGCTCAAGTATGTACCTAAAGGCCCTGCCCTTGCTGGGCCAGTCTAATTGGATTCCTATAAGGGGTGTGTGTGTGTGTGTGTGTGTGTGTGTGTGTGTGTGTGTGTGTGTGTGCTTAATGGTCCAGTTCTGACTTTCCTCTGGCTCTACATGCCTCAGGCTCCTAAGCTACCTTTCTCCTCAATCCCTTGACTTTATCTACCCCTTGCTCCTCTCTCCCCACCCCTCCTCCCCCAAGGTAGTTCTGGCTGCCTTGGGTTGCATTTTTGCTCATGTCCAGAGTGTTGTGGTGTTGTGGTATGGACATGGAAGGGTATAGGATGAACGGGGGTAGGAGAGGCCATAGGTAGAGAGAAGACACAGATGTTTCAGGAAGGTAACAGCTGGCGCGGGGGGGGGGGGTGTGGGGAGGTGTCTTGTATATAGTGATCAACTCTCGGCCCATTGTGGGGTTGACAGGTCTATAGGAGTTGGTTATAGATGGGAAAGGTTACAGGTCGTGTGGATCTGGTGTTTTATGGGTAAAGGAGTTACACATGGGTCACTGCTATACCAAGGAAAGTCACAGTATAGAAAATGACAGGTGGGAGAGAGAGGTCACATTTCCTTCCTGACCTGGCCTCTCTCTGCTGGATTCCATCTCATGCATTATTATTCATCAACACAATACAACAGCTCCAGTCTGTATCTACCCTTCCATTTCTGTATGTAACTCCTCTGTGACTATGTACATTTCTATCAACCACCTGACACTGCCATCCAGCTTTCTACCATCTTCATCCAGAGGGATAAAGAGGAATATTTAGTGTGTGTGTGTGTGTGCATGTGCGTGCATGCACAAATGTGTATATGGGCTTGACCTCAAGGCTTTTTTTGTTCAAGGCTAGAGCTCTACTACTTGAGCCACAGCTCCACCTCCAGCTTTTTTTGGGGTTTTTTTGGTGGTTAATTGGAGATGAAAGTTTTATGGATGTTCCTGCCTGGGCTGGCTTTGAGCCTCAATCCTCAGATCTCAGCTTCCTGAACAGCTAGGATTCCAAACATCAGCTCCCAGCACCCAGTTTGGAGGGACTTGTTTACCATCTCAGTTGACATTGGATGGCCAAGCTAGTTCCTCCGGCTTTGCTTCCCTCACCACAGTGCCTCTCATCCACGTGTTTTTGTCTGGAACACTCTCCTCACCTAGCCTTTGATGTGGTTTTGGTATCTAGTCTGTGCCTCCAACTTTGTCATTCCCATGAGCACAAAGGTTTGTATTAATGGGGTTTACAGATATGTCTCCAAATGCCCAGCTCAGGACAGGGCCAGGTGTATGGATGCTTAGCATGTTTACTGCCTTGCTGGTAGAGGTAAGAGGGGCCTCCCTGGAGTTGACTTCATCTGAAGGCAGTAAAGCCAAACGGAGGTCTGAACTCATTATAGACTGTGTTCCAACTTCCCACAGCCTTTTTTTTTTGGGGGGGGGGGGTCTGGTCATGGGGCCTGAGCCCTGGGCCTGGGCGCTGTCCCTCAGCTCTTCAGCTCAAGGCTAGCGCTCTACCACTTGAACCACAGTGCCACTTCCAGCTTTTTTCTTTTTGCTTATGTGGTGCTGAGGAATCGAACCCAGGGCCTCATGCATGCTAAGCAAGCACTCTGCCACTAAACCACATTTCCAGCCCCTTCCCGCAGCCTTTTACCGTTTGTAGAAAGTGCAGAAGGAGGGCGGCTTTCCCAACCTCCGACCCATTTTAGTATTTCTTTGATAACCAGGCTCTTGTGCAAGCTTCCCACCCAGGCCCTTTGGCTGAGTGATTTCCCAGTCAGTAAATTTCCTGAGGATAGTTATGTAAAAATGTGAGTCACAGAGGTGACCTCGAGGTAGATCTGAAGTCTAAGGAGAGAGGTGGGGTCTTTTTAGCATCTCAAGGGTTGCTCTGACTCTGCTGGAGGGCATTTTCATTTTCTCCTTTTGGTGCCTGGCTTGGGGCTTAAGCATCTGTAACCTCCAGACCTTTTATGCTTAAGGCTGGTACTCTAACCACTTGAGCCACAGCTCTACTTCTGGCCTCTTTTTTTTTTTTTTGGTTGGTCATGGGGCTTGAACTCTGGGCTGAATACCATCCCTCAGCTCTTCAGCTCAAGCTAGAACTCTACCATTTGAGCCACTATACTACTTCTGGTTTTCTGAGTGGCTTATTGGAGGTAAGAGTCTCATGGGCTTTCCTGCCTTGGCTGGCCTCAAACTTCAATCCTCAGATCTCAGCCTCCTGAGTAGCTAGGATGACAAGTGTGAGCCACTGGCACCCGGCTGCTTTTTTTTTTTTTTTTTTTTTTTTTGTGGTTAGCTGGAGATAAAGAGTCTCCAGGACTTCCTTGAGGGGTTGGGTTTGTAGCTTCAAACTGTGATCTTCAGATCTCAGTCTCCTGGGTAGTTAGGATTACAGGTATGAGTCGCCAGTGTCAGGGCCAACCTGGCTTTTTATTGGCCGATTGGAGATGGATTCTCAGGGACTTGTTCTACCTGGGCTGGCTTGGAGTCAAGTTGGTTTTCTGGACCTCAGCCTCCTAAAGTAGCTAGAAGAGGTACACACACACACACACACACACACGAACAATATATTTTTTTCGGGTGCTATCCTTCAGCCCTGTCAATTATTAGTTTGACAGGGACTGAACCTCAACATTGACATCCCAATCC